TCTAAAAGTTTTGCCATTTCTAGATTTGTTGCTTGGTGTGTCACTAAATTCTAATAATTATGCCATACCAGCTCTGTGACCGGACCTTACCATATGTATTTCATATTTCTTCTGAATGTTCGTATTACTAAAGAAATAAAATTAGCAGCTTTTTCCATACATTCTAAATGCATTTTGTCTTTTAGAATAACAGAAATCTTTAATTAAATTCAAAAATTCTAAAGTGGAAAGGAAATGTGTTGAAGAAAGGAACTAAATATATAAAGGGAAAGAAAATTATTCTTCTGAGATATTATAAGTTATTATTATGTAAATCACCCAGTTGTTAACAATTTCAGCCTTTACTATAATTTCCCATTTCTATTTACTCACCAGAATGAAAATCACCGAGACAGTTTTTATACTGAGGTGTTTAGAGTGTAAGACAAGAGTGTCTTTCTGATCTCCACTTGATCTCTGTATTAGTTCCTACCAGCTCTGATAATTTGTAATTACAGTCAAAAGTCGTTAATCCGGACTCGTCAGGCGATTCCGGATTATAGATCATCAGTTTAAATCTAGTTAGATGGCATGCAGAAATTATAAAATTAAAAATATGAAACCATAATTTATGAAATAAAGAACAATTATGATCTAAAGGGTATCAAAATTTACAAAAAAAAAAAAAAAAAAAAAAAAAAAGCTTAATATTTATTTGTTTACTTTATTAAACATTTCTTTCAATGTAAGTTGTTTAAGTAGCTTCATTTTGTATGTGATAATACATTCTCTTTAATTCTATAAACAGACATAATTTCTTGTTCAGTTACAAATTTCCACTGTTCAGGTCCTATAATTGCTGTGTCGAGAATACCGACTAATTTGTCAATCGAAATTTTTTCGTTTTCAATAACCTCCGTCACTTTCTTCGCTATCGGAAGCGAATTATAATGACGAGGAATTTCATTTAAATCATATCAAAGATGGAATACATCAAGATGAAATACTACATTTAGTAAGGAATTATAAGCCAAATAAAATAAAAACATTTGCCCTGAAGATAAGGATAGTGCTGACAGATCAACTTCCAATTCATTTGCGCGATGCCCTTCCCTCCCCCCGCAGGCAGCGTGAAAGATAAACAATTTCAGGATATGCCTTTACCATTTTTTGCAGCAATTCCACTTTTTGTTTAATGGACTTCGAAACATACTTTCGCTTTGTAGATCCTTTACATATTAGTAAATATATATCAGAAATTCTATTTGACATAATCGAAAGTTCAAACTTACTTTCATAAAATTGCTCTGACAGTCTGCAAAAAATAATAAGCCGAATCCAATTTGAAGATTAAGGAACAACGCAATCTGCAACATTAACTGAATTAGATAATTTTAGCTTAGTTTATACCATCTATTATACATTAAATGCGCATTCGTAAACATATTTTGCGCACGCACATTCGCATCCGTAAAGGTCTTCTGCACATGCGTCGTGGTTGTGTTGACGCATGCGCAGAAAGTTTGTAGCTTTGAGGTCCGGATTATAGATCATTCCGGATTATGGGTGTCCGAATTAACAACTTTTGACTGTATTAGTCTTTCCATTACCGCTGCTGACATTTGAGTTTATTATGACGATGGAGTTACTGAACCAAATTATATTGACCACTTGTCTATATTTTTAGTTTAATTACATTAATTTAATTACCAAGAGCACCAATTACATCATCTTCTTCTTGTTTAATGACATCACCAAGAACTGTAATTGATTTTGTTTGCATAAGAACATGCCTTTATGTTCTGAGTTCTTTTTAAAATAAGAAGCTTATTTAAACCTCTGATTTATAGTTACTTTCAGGCATAGTGGTAATTTGTTTCATGACTGTCTGGGGGTGGGTGGACTATTTAACTTTTATCAGATCAAGTAAAGCCTCATAGGTAGTACATTGTGGAGAGATTGAAATTTAGGAGATAAAACACACAGAAACTAATGAGAACATTGTTTTGCGTATTGAGACAAATTTCTAATTGTTAGAAAAGATGCTTAAGGAGAAGGAAATTGCTATAAATTAGCCAAAATGTAAGGGTAGACATTCAAATTAAAAAGATGCACAATTATTTTGTTTTCTTGCCTAATATTGTTTAATGTGTAATTATCCTAATATTGTTTAAAAATCAATGTCATAAATTGCATGTATTTTAAACTGTGAATTTGATTAGATTGTGATATTAATAGGGTTTTTTTTTAGCAAATATTACAAAAATTAATTTAATTTGATAGTGGCTATGTAAATCCATAATGACTAAGATTTTCTAATACCTAATTAATTACTTATAAGTAAGTGCTTACCCTTAAAAATTATCTTTGCATATTAAAGCGAGTTATTGCTTTTCATTAACCTTTACTGTGGTCACAAGGTAAAACACAAAAATATAAAAATTCATGTAAAACTTATTCTTTGCATCTAGTGAAACTTAAAATAATGCAAAACAACTTATCACCTCTAGTGCTTTGGCTTAATAGAACCTTAATGTATATTAACTGAGTTATAATCCCTACAACTCTACACGAAGCTACGACATTAACTGCATCAGACAGATTTCAGCTAACTTTCAAAACTTCTAACTGTGGCTACATCAGGCCTTTCAGGTTTGTTCTGATCAGCAGGTCTCTCTCTAGGCAAGCAGTCTTTTGTTATGAATCATGCTGATTATGATTTTAATGCTCATTTTAACCTATGCTTCTTGACATAAAATCTACTTACTATTTACTAAACCTCTAGACTGAGCAAGTATGTGACAAAATGAAACATAAAAGAAAAAATCAACATAAAAAAAAAAAAAAAAAAAAAAAAAGAGCCAACTGTTAGTATATTTAATGCTACTTGATAAATTTCATAATATTTATTTTATTCTCAAACATAAATTTGTTAATTAAGCTATATTTAATAATAATTCATCTACTTACAGATCTCTTTTATTTTTAGGTTGGTATTAAAAAGTGAAGTTCAGGCATACATATAATATTTTTAATTGAATTTATTCAGTTCCCATTTGCTCATAGGTCCTTAATTTTGTTTCATTAATGGTCCTTAAAAGTACTTAATTTCCGTGTGCAGAAATGTGTATGAACCCTGTAGATCACAGAATTTCCTAGATTTTGATAACATTTACTAAAAAAATATTTTCTTGCAGTAGATGAAATTTGCTGAATTAGTTAATTCTCCCACCCTTAATGATTTTCAGAAATTGTATTTAATCTGAATTTTCCTAATTTACTGCAGACATTTGTAAGAATTGTTTTGAAGATTAAACTCGTGTTTAATCAAGTAATATTTGTATTTCATTTTCTTTTACATAAATGTATGGTATATTATTAAGTTTATCCATACAATAAATTAATTTTATTTTCATTTTATGTTAAGTAATTTGACAAATAAACATCTACATTCAATTTTCCCAGTACAAAAGTGTAAGATAATTAGAAAATGAAATTAACCAAAGAGTATGGATTTTAATACAACTGATCAAATATTGGGTATAAACAAAAGTTTCCCATTACCACAAATATCGTCTGCACAAACAGTTCGCATTGGCATGTTTAATTATATTTTATCAAACGATATTTGGCATTTGAAAGAGACTTGCTTTAGAACACTGTGTTGCAAAATTTGTAAAAAGTATTGCTGTCATTAAGTACAAGGTATCTGAAATGGATATGGTTATTATGCTACCAGATTAGAACCATCATTTACTTGCAGTTCTGTTGCAAAAAGTCAGTTAAAACGTCATGAAGTCATGTATACAGCTTTAGGTACTAATGTTATATCATATGACACTCTGAAGATTTGGTATTGAAATTTCAAAAAGGACTATGACATTCAAAAAGCAGAGCATTTTGGCCGGCATACTGTCGCTGATGAGGACCGCCTGTGAGAACTTGTGAAAGAAGATCAGTATGCAACATTCGAGAGCTTGCTAAGGAGTTAGACATTACAAATTTCTGGAGCGGATTGTCACATGTGATCAAAGTGGATTTACTTCACAGGATGAAAAGTGGGTTGGTCTGCACCCGGTGAGCTCGTCAGCAGCGTCTCAGAGCACAATTTGACTAACAAAAATCATGCTTTGTATCTGGTGGGATTGTCACGGTATTATCCACAAAGAGTACCTGGAAAAAAGTAAAATCCTTGACAGTAAGATGTACAGCGAGATGCTAGTCTGTATTGACACTGCTATCAAGGAAATACATCAAACCGAGTTCTACATGTGTCTGCATTCACCAGCTGGACTCTGTACAGACTTGAATGGGATCTGTTGCCACAACCATCATATAGCTCCAACATTGCTCTTTTAGACTTCTATCTTTTATCACACCTGCAGCTACACCTTGCTGGTGCTATTTTCCGTTCTGCTTAGGATGTCCGAAATGAAATTGATGTGTTTATGGACTCACGGCCGCCAAGTTTCTGAGCCGAAGGCTTTGAAATTCTATCAAAACATTGGAAGAAAATCATATATTTGGGTGGTGATTACTACCCGCACTAAAGGTATCCGGAAAAACGTGGTTTTTTTTTTTCTAACTTTATTAAGGATGTTTTTTCGAGGAAAACTTTCGTTACAACCAAGTATTAATACATTTTACAGGTATGGATAGATATAGGGAAAAGTGGGTGGAATATCAGAATTTCACCATTGATCACACAGATATAGCCCCATGGCACTAACAGCTAATAATTTTGTAAATAGTTCAGTTGTTTCAACCACATATTATAAAGTGAATAATAATAAGTCAATTTGTAGTTTTTGGTTTAAGTAGCATTACCACAAAGAATGAAAACTTCTTTTTCTTATGTCAAAGTTGGCAGCATGTGAAGCATTTAAAAAAATAAAGCATGATATTTTTATTTGTATCTCATTTTATACCAATAGTTAGTCATGCATGAAAATTATAAAAAAGATATTTGATAATATTCTTGCCTTTCTACAAGTAGTAAATATTCCTCTTTTTCTCAACAGAGTTCGACAGCAGCAGTTAATTCAAATATATGAACTTATGAAACAACAGAGCAATAAATTTGGGGAAATCAGTTTATCAGATGTAGAGGAACAAATGAAGTTGTATCAATGATATTTTAAGGTATATGTTTATTGTATGTGAAGTGCTTAACTCTCTGCATTCATGTTAAACTATTTAATTTATGCTTTTTCTTAGAAACTGCACAATTTAAAACAATTTTGTAAATGTATGCTTAATATCGTATATTACAGAATAAAACAAAACATAAAATGCTATGCATTTTTTGCAACATTTCTTCACCTTTAGCAAATATAAAAATGCTTTAATACAGTCAAAAGTCGTTAATCCAGACTAGTCGGGACTTTGGCGATTCCGGATTTTAGATTATCAGTTTAAATCTGGTAAGATGGCATGCAGAAATTATAAAATTAAAAATATGAAACCATAATTTATGAAATAAAGAACAATTATGATCTAAAGGATATCAAAATTTACAAAAAAAAAAAAAAAAAAAAAGCTTAATATTTATTTGTTTACTTTATTAAACATTTCTTTCAATGTAAGTTGTTTAAGTTGCTTCCTTTTTTATGTGATAATACATTCTCTTTAATTCTATAAACAGACATAATTTCTTGTTCAGTTACAAAGTTCCGCTGTTCAGGTCCTATAATTGTTGTGTCGAGAATACCGACTAATTTGTCAATTGAAATTTTTTCGTTTTCAATAACCTCCGTCACTTTCTTCGCTATCGGAAGCGAATTATAATGACGAGGAATTTTTTCATTTAAATCATATCAAAGATGGAATACATCAAGTTACGCATTTGTAAACGTATTTTGCGCACACGCATATTCGCAGCCGTGAAGGTCTTACGCACATGCGTCCTGACGCATGCGCAGAAAGTTTGTAGCTTTGAGGTCCGGATTATGGGTGTTCGAATTAACGACTTTTGACTGTATATACCAATTAGATGAATTAATAAAAAATGTGATTTTTTCTTTTTTTGGAAAATGGAGCTTTTTTTATCTGTTATTTATTTTAGCAATATTATAATAATTGTTCTATAAAAATTGAAAGTATTTTTTTTTTGGAGTCAATGATAATGCACAATGGGCCAAACTGATGATTAACATAATAAACAAAGTACACGTAGTAAACATCAGTAGATATGGAGGATAATTCTATTTTCATAGATTCATAGTCTTTTAAATTTGATCTGTATTTTGGCATATAAACTGTGGATGTGAGTGAATCAGAATTAAAAAATAAAATTTGTTATATAATAAATCTTTTCTAGCGTTTCAATAAAAATAGGCCTAGACATTATTAGTTTAATGAAAAAGACCTATAAGACAAATGTTTTGGCAAGTCAACCACTTTTAGATGAAATCATGATTTCAGAAAAAGATTCTTTGCCAGATAAATTTTCTCAAAAGCCTAGCTGACTTGGAAAGTTTTTTTTTTACAGAGTAACCTTGCAGAAAGACTGACAGATGATATGTGAAGACATTATACAATCTGTTAATAATCTGAAAACATCTGCATTTTGCTTCATAAATTACTGCTGTATATACCATTTATGTTCCAAGTAATTATCTCATCAATGAATGGAAGAATAGTTTTTAGCCATTTGAGATGTGTAGTGAAGGAAAATAAATTGTTGTAAAGAACTCAGGTGTCTAATGTGTAGTAAGAAGTTGAATATCATCCCACATTAAAGCAAGAAGTGGTTGCCTGGAAACATAGTAACTTCATTTCTCTCCAAAAAATATTTGCTAACAGTCAATTGGAAAGGTAGTAATAATAAAGTTTCAGGTATGGAAATCTGGTGAACTGGAACATCATTCTTCATCTTGTTATTGTTAGTCATGACTATTTTAATTTTGAAATATCTGCATCAATATCTATCAAAGATGTATAATATGTGGTTAGGCATCATTATAATGCCCTTTTGCATCTGTTTTCTAGAGTTTCTAAAGAATTATTGTATTAAAATCCTACCAGAGCCTGCCCTTATCATAATCTTCCTCAAATGATTGATTTCTGGTTGTTTTGCATGGTTGTCTGAAGAGAAAACTGTAGCATAAAATTCAGTGCTGAAGCTGACATCATTCAAGATTCTGTTCAGAATTCACCAAAAAGGCTTCTGTAAAATGCCTTCCTGACATGCTTTGAAAAGTAGACCAAGTTATGGGACCATTGCATGTCATTTGAAGGCAGACAGATTTGAGTAAGGACGATATATATTAATTACCTCATTTTTCTACAGTTTACTCTGTTTTTATGGAATGGCTTTTGTATGAAAAATTCAGATATTTGAATTTGCGTGATTAATTGCTGTTCTGTTTACTAGTCACTAAAATTCTATTGAATTTTGTTAAAAATATTATTGTTTTGCAGTGTTAAGATTTAGGAGGGGTAGAGAATAAAATCATAGTATAATACCTCATAAGGTAATGCATTGAAAATAAATAATTAAATGTACAGTTCCTTATTAGATGCTGAATTTGAAACTTGTTATAAATACATACACTATGTTAAGAAATATAAGTATCGCACATATGACAGAGAAAAATATTTTTGTCTCCAAATGACTTTTTGCATGGAATAAAGTGATGTTACACATATTAACCATATTAAGAAATTGAAATGCAATTAATATTAGCAAAATGAATTCATTTTTTTTGTGATATCTAATAGTTAGGTAAAGAGTTGTCTATAAAAGATATGTACTGAAATTAAAGTCTTCAAACAGCATCATATTGAAATTTTAAGATTCTTTTATATTTGTAAACATGACAGCTTCCAGCTTGTATAATATTTGTTTATATTTATGTACATTTATAAATAAAATATTTACATTTTGAGAATTTATATAGTTTTGTTTTTATCAAACATAATAAATTATTTTACAAAAACTTGTGTATAATTTGCTTATTTAAGTATTCACTTGAAAGGAACAGGTCAGCCACATGATATTGCCATGCAGGAAGGGATAAAAGGGTTTCTCCTGTTCAACTGTCTTGAAGTTCCCCCCTTCTTTTTTTTATCAAAACATTCTGTGATTTGTTAAGACATTTGTGATAAGTTTTAACATGTTCCGGGGTAAACATTCTGCAATTACAGAATGAATATAAGTATAAATGTATATATTTACTTTTCCTATATTCGAAAGATTACTTCTTTAATATTTCATTCTCAATGGAGTGAAAGGCTATTACTTTTACCGTGCTTCAAACATTTTTAATTTGAATGAAATGTTTTTACACATTTTTGCTAATTACATTAGAAAGAAATTTTTATTTGGGTAACGATGGTAAGGCTAATATAAAGTCATGCATCATTTTTCTGTTTACAGAGTTTCTTTATAAAATATTTTCTCAGATAGATGATACTTTGTTTTTCTGAAGTGCTGTTTAAATCATCAAAAGTGAAAAAAAAGTCATAGTCTTCAAGACTTGTCATTGAATTACTATGAAATAAAGAAATAATTTTAATATTATGAATTCTGTACATAGATAGATAATTTTAGTCAAGTTATATGTGAAATTGCTATTTTTCTGTATAATGCAACATAAGAAGGTAAGATAATAATAATTTGGCGAAATATCGCGAAGCTGGCAGTGGTTTTGGCTGCTAATTTTTGTCACCAAATTTGGCGAGTAAAGTCCCAAAACTTGGCCACCATATGGCGATATTTTGGTTCGATTCCTTTATAACTGTAGTGAATACTGTAATTGATTCCTATATTATCTGCTACTGTTTCTGGCCCTCACATGCCTTCCAGTAATTGTGAGAAGCGGAAAGTACTAGAGAATTTCTCTGTAGCCGGGAGAAAACTATATAAGACCGTCGAAAACATCAGTTTCTTAGCTTTTAGTTTTGGTTTTGGTTTATTAAATTACGGCAAAGCCTCGAGGGCTATCTGTCTAAGGGGAGGGATGCCTTCGTGGAGGACTTTCTAAGGGAAACTGGCTCGTATACACGTTACACATGAGGAAAACCACGAAAACGCCCATGCAGCCAACCCGTTCGCGGGATTCGAACCTCGGACCGAACTACCAGTGTTCAGCGACGTTACCGCTCGGCCGCTGGTGGGCTTCTTAGCTTTTAGTTCAGAGCGACTTTGGAGTGAGAGTTATGTTTTGCATTCTGTTGTGTTTAACGTTACTAGTATTCTGAAGTGTAAGTACTGATTGTGTTCTGTGATGTGCTGTACGACTATTCTGTGGAATGGTCCAGAACTATGAAGTCTCTTTTCATAAAATAAATTTTATCAAGCTATCATCGGTTCTGCGTGCATTCAATCTATTGCAAACCCATACGCATGCAACAATTTTTCATATCAGCAGTGGGATTGAATGCCAGTGACAAGAGTGATGGAAGAGCACTTAAGACAACTGGTTGCAGCTTTTCTGCTTTCAAAGAAGAGATGAAAGCTCGCCAAGATCCTGTTAAAGAAGAGATGAAATCTTTTCAAGGTGAATTTGAAACAGATCAAGAGGAAATGAAAAGAGAAATTACGTGCATATTAGAAAACAAATTTGAGGTTATGAAAGACAGAACAGATATGATTGAAAATAGGGTTGCAGAAATTGAAGAAAGAGTTTCTTCTGTTAATAAACCAAAGAGAGAATTTCTCCCACCAGCAAATACCTTAAAGAAATGCATAACGATTCTCATGGATTTAATTTTTTATCTATTCTTTCTCTAAAGCTTTCCACATATGATGATAGTAAGACCTCCTGGCAAGCATATAAGACACAATTTCTGTAGTGGTGGATGCAAATGGATGGGATTCCCAAGCTAAGGCCTGTCATCTCGCCGCTCTTCTGATAGCAGGTGAAGCAAATATCCTTCAAGCTTTCTGAAAACCCAAAGGCTAGTGTTCAAAGCCGTATCTGGCACTTTGGAACTGTGCTTTTGGGAGATGTGTTTAAAAGACTGTAGCAGGCTTCAATTAAAAATCCTTCAACAGAATCACATGGAAACACTCCAGGAGCTTGCCATAGATGTTGAACGGCTGTATCATCTTGCCTTTTCGGAATGCTCAACAGAAACAAGGGAAATCCTTTCTCTGCAGTACTTCATCGATGGTTAACAATCGAAATTAACAATAGATTTTGATGCTGTGGCTGCATGCTTTGTCTTGATGCAATTCTACTGATTGATCGCACTATATGTATAAAGAGTAGGTATTTCATATTTGAAAATTGGGTATAAAATAAGTTTATGATAATATGTGGACTCTTATTTTTAATTTGCCGTTATGTGAAAAACCAGAAACAATCATAAATCACTTAGAAAAACTTTCTTTAGATTCCTTGAACCATGCTTTAAGATTTTTTTTTTTCTTTTCTTTTATGATAATAAATGGATCTTTTTTTTTTTTTTTTTTTTTTTTTATATTACAGTCATTTAAGTACACCCAAGATTCATCTGTAGTGACAACATTTTCCGATTTTTGTCCAGATAAGTGTTTCACATAAAGAATTCTGCGGTGCATTCTACATTCAGTGATATGTAGTGGAGAAAGACGATTCATATAAGTTTTCTTGCCTTTTTAAGATTCAAATCAGCATTAATTGCTTTGTTCATAATTAACACTGAGTATTTTATTGATTATGAAACTGTCCTTTGACTTAGCAGATTTTCTTTTAACGTTAGAAACATTCCGTTTTTCCGTTGGATATGTATTTGGAAAAACTTTTCCACTTGAAGCTAAATTTCCCCCCTTTGTTGGCAACATTACCTATTGTAGCTTTAAGATAAACCATGGCTTTCAAAACCTTTTTTACTAACTAAATGCGAATAATTTTCTTCAGAAAGAACACAAACATAGCTTTCCATCCATAGTTTTTTTTAAAAGTGACATTTTGCATAAAAACAAAACTGTGAAGTAATGGATTATAATTTATACTTTCAAAAATATAGTTGCAGTTAAAAAAAATTCCAAGCAGAAGATTTTTTTAAAGCAACATCTAAAAAATGTATGAACAGCCTCTGTATGTTTTTAAAAGCAGTGTTTTATGATGAGTTTTAAACCGGAAAATTGACAACCATAATTTTTTAAAATTGAACTTCTAAAACCCCTTCTGATGATACTAGTGATTTTTAATTATACTCGAATGATAAAACAATTTGAAACATTACACAATCAGGAATGATGCAATATTTGCGAGTTGAAGTATCAGAAGAGAAACTATTTGTTGCTTCATAAAAATCCATGTAGAACAGAATTTGTTTAACAAAATATAAAATATAATAAGAGAGAGTAAAAAAAAAAAAAAAAAAAAAACTTAGATTGCAAGTTCTTTTTTGCTTACTTTTCCCCTGAAATCAGAGCAGCATATTGTTTCCAAAATTCTTCTGAGTTTTCAAAAGTTTACTTATTTATTATTGTTATAAAACAGGGTCGTCATTGCCAATACTTGGATCAAGACTACACGGCAAATCAGTTGGCTGTAAGGTTTTGTGTTAAGAGTGAACAGTTGAAAATTCTAGACTTATGGCATCTGGTTTGAAAAAAAAAAGGAAATGAACATACTATGAATATACAAGCTTAGTTAAAAACAATGTAACAGCAGAATTAGAAATCATGTTAACAGATATGAAGGGAAAAGATTTCAAGTATTATAAATTAATTTATTATATTTATACTTTATAAGAATAATATTAATAATAATATATACATATAATTATTCACACTAATACATCTTTTAACGTTCCAAACACATGTGACGTGTTTTCAATACCCAGTGCTTCTTCAATACACATTGTAGAAGACAGAATTGGCTAGCATTTATGCAAATGTGTATGACTTCATTTATTCACCAATAATTCTTCAATCTAGAAAACAAAATTTCTGAAATGAAACTTCAAGATTTTTGTAAGAAAATATTCAGCAATTATTAATGCACTTAAAACACATCAATTGTATCAGGTATAAAATACAAAAACTTACTTGAGCTTTATACATAGATTTCACATCAGCCAAGTCTAATTGTAATTCTTCAGTTTCTTCAACTTTTTCTCCATACATTTGTAGTAAAGTATTATATTTTTGATTGAGGTCCTGAAGGGAAATATAATAAATATGTATCCTTTACATATACAAAAATTTATATTCCATTTTGGGCAATTAAATATATAAAAGACATCTGACCTTAACGTTTATGCATAATATGTGCCCAAAGTCTGGTAAATCCTAGGTTTTACTGGTAAAACATAGCTTTTACCATGGCTTTTAAAAAACAAAATTGGTTACAAGTGGCTTGGTAAAAGTCCGCAATATGCTTTAACATGATTCCAGTTCACCCTTTTACCAAGCCTTTACAGTAAAACCTAGGAATTACAAACACCTTTCGGTAAAAGCCCGAAACGAGGGATTTAAATTGACTCTGAATAAACCCACGCATGCAAATTTCCTTCCTTATTTGCGCCATTTGCAGTCTAGCTCCAAGCAAAGTAAACAAGTGGCTATGATCTAAAATGGAAGCAGTTTGTTTACATTTCAACATATTTTGTGTTTTTTATTTTGCTGAAGGAAATGAGTGATGTTATGCAGAAAACATTTTATGACATTTACCTGAATCTGTAAAAAATAAACACAATAACAGCTTTTATTTAATAAATGAAGTGAAAGAAGCAAAATGTGTGAAGAAAAAACAAATGGTTCATTGCAGAAGTTTGAAACGCTACGATATTCGAAAATTTGGAGGACAGGACAAACTTACAGCACCACTATCTTCAGAAAAAGCAGAAATCCTGTATTATGTTACAAGTGATGAAATCCTCAATGTCATACATGACGCTCATATCGCAGTTGGCCATGGGGAAGAATCCATATGATTAAGCACCTGAATCCCAAGTACAAGAATGTAATAGTAGAATCTATCACCATGCATTTGAAACCATTTCAGAAAAAACAAAGAAACTGAAAAAGGGGATTGTAATCAAACCAGTTGTGCATAGCGAAATGAATTTTCGATGCCAAATAGACCTAAGAGATATGCAGTTCAATCCTGATCGTGATGTAAAATTTATTTTGGTGTATCAAGATCATCTTACCAAATTCGTTTTACTCCATTTTTAAAACACACACACACACACACACACACAGCACATTAAATCACTATTACTTGTCTCCCATTATGATATGATAATAAAACTGGTTCTGTTTGCATATGGAAAATCTTTGCAGTTATTCTTATCACTGAGCATATGGGATATCCATTCACTACCAAGCCAATACATTTTAAGGGATGCTAAAACTGTTGACCAAGAAATGGTCATCTTTTTTGAAATTTCCTCAGTTGCTTGATGAGGACCTTCTTCCTCAATAACCAGAAAACATTTGCATCAAAGGTGTGAAAAGCCACTTTTTCAAGCATCTTCAAGGTCAAAACTGCCAATATGAAATACGTTGAGACATTGTTGACATTTGCAAATATCTAAATAATTTACATAAAGTGGGCTGACATTCACTGTTAGAGTAACTGTATTATGACCACAAGCCTAATCAGAGCTCCTTGAAGCACCATTATTCATTTTGTAAAGGGTATTAAATGTTCTATTAAAATCTCAGTTGAAAGAACAACATATGTGCACTTTAACAACCTGAATTGGAATGAGATCAATGCTACAGCAAACCTAACAAAAATACCAAAATTCTATGCCTCTAAAAATAACATTATTTATGTGCCCTTATTAAAAATGTAATACAAGTATGATTTAAAGAGAAAGCTGCATTTATGATGAATACATTTCTTAAGAAAGACTTGTATAATAACACCCACATTAATGAAATTAATAATATCATTTTGAGCTATAATTAAAGTCAAAAAGAAAAAAAAAAAAAATGGTTTAAAGGTTCACATGAAATAGCAAGCAAGAGGCTCAAAGTACTCTCAGTTGCAGGTATTCTTTTCCTAAAACACACATTTACACAGGGTGTTTAAACAAAGATAGGATAAATTTAAAGAGGTTGAAGAAAACTTCAGAGCAATTTTTTTTATTAAGTTAAAAATAAAATGTAAAAATTCTTGACGTGAAGACAAGCAGCGAAGGCACAACCACAGTGACACAAAAAATGGGGGGAGGGGGGGATTAAAAAATAAAAATTGAAAGATTTCAGATTTTATATTACACTCAAAGAGGCCTTTTTTAAATGTTATGTGTATTACTTTTATTTATTAAATATAATGTTCTTCACACTTAAACCACATAAAATTCAATTCAACAGCAATTTCACAAAATATTTAAAAACGGCATATCTTTAGAATTTCCGATACACATTCTTGCACACTGGAGATAAAAGTCTTTTTTTATGTACAGTGTTCCACTCCTAACTTTGAAATCACCGAGTTTGTTAATCAAAAATTTGTTCCAAGTTTTATAAAATATGAAATACACTGGTGTGCAAAAATTAAGGACGAAATCGAAAAATTAGCATATCAACTGAACGAAGAGGCAGAGCGGACAGAAAGACCAATCAGGAGATTAAGTATGGTGATGTACAGTAGCACATGCGCAGATATGCAGGTAGACGTAATGGGAGAGTGTCTGAGTAGTATAAAGCATGTTGTCGGTGTAAGATCAGTATTTCTGGCAAAGAGATTGCACGCCGTATAGCAGTTAAAATTACACCGAGTTGCTGCCTCAGCGAGAAATGGCGAATAATCAATCTGTTAGACGACATCTGAATGCTTTTACCCGAGGTCAAATCATTGGGAAGTTGGAGGAAGGCCGCAGTGTGACAAGTGTGGTTGCAGAGTTCGGAATTGCGCACAGCACCGTTTCACAACTTTGGAGACAATTTCAAACTACAGGAACAGCTATCTGGGGGTTTAGTAGTGGTCGTCCACGAGGAACCACACTCGCAGATCACCGGTATATAACCTTACAGGCCAGAAGAAACAGGCGGCAGACAGCGGGAGAAATCGCTAGACACACGACACAGGCAACTGGACGACCGACATCGCGTTTTACCGTGGCCAGAAGACTGCACGGTGGTGGTCTGTTTGCACAACGACCTGTACGGTGTGTACCTCTAACGCCTGCCCATTGGAGAAGGCGTTCTCTGTTGGTGCCGGGAACACCGGAATTGGAGAGACAATGAATGGGGACGAGTACTCTTTACAGATGAGAGCAGATTCAGTCTGAGTAGCGCATACTCATCTGGAGAGAGCGGGGAAGCCACAACCATCCCTCGAACATCATTGAAAGGGACGGTATGGATGGCGGTGTTCGTTTGGGGAGGCATCATGCTTGGTAGTTGTACCAGATCTTCACATCTTTGATGCAGGTTCAGTCAAAGGGACCCGTTATTGTAATGAGATTCTTCTCCATATGTGCGTTTTTTTAGAGGCGCTATGGTCCGCAGTTCCTTTTCAATGGACGACAATGCACCATATTCATCGCACAGTAGCTGCCGAAAAGCTCTTAGAGAGTGAGATATTGAACGTATGGATTGGCCGGCACGATCTCCGGATCTCAATCCCATCGAGCATGTATGGGATTTTCTAGGCAGACGCTTGGCAGCTCGTACCTTACCACCAGTAACGATTCTGGAGCTTCGATTGGCGCTGCAAGACGAATGGGCAGCAATGCCTCAACAATCATTGACACCCTCATTCTCAGCATGGGCAGACGCTGTGAAACCTGCCTAGCAGTCAGGGGAGATCATATCCCCTATTAAAGACTGGATGTTTCTTGCTGGACACCCATCACAGGGATGTTTCGGCCTTCAGTCGCATTGCACTCCATGCTACTTTTTCAATAAAGCTTCTTTTTATCCCTCTGATTTCTCTTTGAGTAAGTGTTGCTTACATTACTCATGTCCTTACGTATTGGGGATCTTACGGTATTAAATGTGTTGATTTGGAAAGCTTTTGTACAAAGTTATATTGAAAAAACCGTCTCGTCCTTAATTTTTGCACACCAGTGTTGTTGACGCCAAAGGCACCATCTGTGAAAAATATGTAATATTTGTGTTCTAAAACCATGCGCTGATGTTTTTATAGTGCCACCTTGCGCCCACTTGTATTGAGTTTTGAGTGTGTTCTGAGACGCCGCCGAGAGATGTGAACTAACTATGCGGCTTTTTGAGTAATTAATAAATTTTAGTATATAGTCCATTTTTGAGTTTTTGTGTAAAGTGATTTATTTAATTATGAGTTTTACTGAGCTATTGACGGGCCCATTATTGGTCCGTCGAGCCGGAGCTCGAAAACTTGTGGATTACTCTTAAATAGAAGGCATGTGGCCTTAATTGTAATAACTGTGTAATTGAAAAAGTAGATTGAAAATGTTTAAAAGTGCAAAAAAAGAAGATTATCAGCGTATTGCTGTAGAGCTGAATTTAGACATTTCAGAAGCGAAAACTACATCAGATTTAACTGATATAATAAAAAACAGTGAAAGCTATAAGAAGGATCCTGTATTAGTTGAAGGTATAACTAATAATATCATCGATGAAAGGAAAAGTGACGAGAGCCGTTTGCTCGAACTTGAGAAATTGAAAACGGAACGAGCGAAATTGGAACTAGAACTTGCGAAGTTGCGAGCAGAATCAAAGAGTGAAAACCTCATAGAATATGAGAAAAGAGAAAATGTAGAATCTCTTGACTCTCTTATTAAAAGTATACGCACATTAACAACTAAAATTCCAATTAGACTGGAAGGGTGGGGTTATTTCTTTTCATCGTTAGAAAGGGCATTCATTTCAAAAAGTGTTCCAGAGAAATTTAAATCGGAAATTCTTCTAAATTTGTTGGGAGATAAAGCCACAAATGTTATTACATACATTAAAGACGACGAATTAGGAGATTATTTGAATGTTAATGAAATAGTACTAAGAGAGTTCGAACCATTTCCCCAAATTTGTTTAGAAAATTTTAGGAAGACACTACGAATGACGAATGAAACTTATGTGGAGTTCGCGTCTAGATTAACCACGAGTTGGGATTATTATTTGAAACAGAAAGGTAAATAAATGACTTTGAAACATTAAAACAATTAATGATTTCTGATAAAATATGTCAAACACTTGATAAAGAGGTTATGTGTTTTATA